AAGACCGTCAAGACAACTTTAGGTTTTGATGGAACAATGCTTCTTGTTATCTGTCTGTAGCTCCACACAGTGATTCACAAATGAGATAAAGCAAAAGTCAACAATGGCTAAAAACAGTTTTATGCTTCCTCAATGGCACTCAGCACTTTTCTGCTAATAACACAACCTAATCGAACCAGAATTAACTTAAGAGACCTTTGACAATGTCTCTACAAACCTGGGTGCCTTAGATGCATCTTAGTATCTAAACACATGACCTTATGGACTGGAAAATACAGACAGAACAAAGTCCTAGCATTGCTTACTGACACACAAGAACAAAGTGTGAAGATGCTAAAACAGTAAAGTTGTCCTTCTTTTGTGCTGTAGTGTCTGGTTCTAAAACAGAGTTTTGCAGTTGGAGACATGAGTACATATATTTATGTATATAAGTACAAATACTGACTGCCTCCTTCTCCAACAGCATTAGTTCTGATAGCTCTGATTACCTATATCAGTGGTTCTCAAACTTTTTAAACCAAGTACCACCCCTGATCAAACCAAAGCATCCAAGTACCACCTACAAGTTGTCTTCTCCTAGGAACCCCAGAAAATCACAATGACCAACATGAGCGTGCATGCACGCACACACTCACATACACATATAATAAAAATAGCACTGAGCACCTACCATTTCAGTGAGAGGGATGTGCCCGTTTAGTCGAGCAAAGCCTTGCAATGTCATGGACGAGGGCAGTGAGCTTCAAATACAGATCTGGCTCAGCATCCGTTTTGTTTCAGTACTTTGTCTTGATTGCAGTGAGAGCAGAGAAGCCTTTCTCACAAAGGTAGGTAGTAGCAAAAGGCATAAAAAAAACACACAGCCTTTAATGAGAGAGCTGGGTATTCACTCTGTCTCTGGATCCAGAAATCCAACAGTGACCTTCATTTCAATTCTGATATCAAAGTCGCATCAGATGATAACTTGAGCAACTTCTCTTGTTCAGCACAGGTCAGATCCTTGGGTATTCCTGCAACATCAACAGTAAAGGGCATCCTGATCCATTCTCTGGTGAGGCCTCAACTGGAAAATACTCTGAGAACTGTTCTTCCAAAGACAAGAGATGCACTGTAATCTAATCTCAAACAGTAGCATCAAGTGCCAAAAAGCTGCAGCTTTTTCTTCAGAGCGGTGATCTTGTCAGACACGTCAAAAATTGTTTTGACGTGTCAGAGAGCCCCTGCAGTTCCATATTCCGCTCATTCAAACGTGAGAATATAATCAGCCAGGTAGGCTAATTATACCAGCCACATTACAAAGCACACTGACGTGAATTCATTGGTGGAGCCTTGATACAATTCACAACTTTGACAGCAGAGTAACAGCATTTTCTTGACTGCCAAGGCCTCCACTGCGTCCACTTCATATTTGGAGCAACCTCTCTAATTCGTGCAACTACACCGCTGTGTCGTCTTGTCATCGCTCTAGCACCTTCTGTACAAACTCCGACGCGTTTTAGCCAGTCGATGACATTCTCTTCGACAAATTCATTCAGAAGCAGAAATATGTGCTCTCCTGTAGTTCCTGTTGGTAGTGGCTTACAGAACTGAACGTCGTCATGGGATGTGCCCTCAAACTCGTATCTAACGTAAACAAGCAACTTGGCCAAATCAATGACATCTACAGACTCATCTAAATGCAGTGAAAAGCATCTGCTCATCTTAACGCGCTCTATCAGCGTACTTTTGACATTATCTGCCACATCAATAATTCTACAAGTGACTGAAAGGGGCAGCAGGTCGAGCTGTTTAGCAGCCTTTTCTCCACACATTATACGTGTCAGCTCTTTTGCCAAGGGTAAACAAAGTTCTTCACCAATAGTGTTGGGTTTACCTGCTTTAGCAATCTGCAAGCTTGCATTTTTCCCCGTTTCCGTTTCAGGAGTCTGTCTCAGAAGTTAAAGAAGTTTTTATTTCATGCGCATGGGACCGAAACACACACATACATACCAAAATACACAGATGCTCAGTGTATTTTTCTCAAATTAACCTAGAACAGTCCTTAAAATTTTTTCTGTTACCTATCACACTTTCCTGTGCTTACAAGATTGACAGCGTTAAAAAACCATGCACATTCTCATACCTCCCTATTTGCTGAAGATAACTTTTTTTAAATACAATTGGTCACTAATGTTCGTAGTACCCATTTCTATGCTTTCCTGTGCTCACAAGATTGGCATTGTTCCAAAATCACGCACATTCTCCTACCTTCCTATTTGCTGGAGATAACTTTTTTTAAGTACAATTGGACACTTACGTTCGTAGCACGCATTCCTATACAATGGTACATAATTACATAGTAGATCTTGTGTCCACTCTAGTATTGCCGTGCGCTGTACTGCGTATCGCAGGCTGCGTATTTGACACAAACTAATTTTATTAAAAGAGGAAATATGAAAATCCGTCCCAACTTTTCAGTGCACACAACAAATTCCAGGGTCATCTGGGATACCACCTGGGGGTGCTCTGCAGACATTTCATCTGTCCCAGCAGCAGTAGTTGAGATGTCTAGTAAATTCATGAATTCAGGAAAGTATGAAAATATATATTTACAGCTGCACAGAACTTTGACAGAGAACCCCAAAGTGGGATGTTCCATCTAATGTGCGAATCAATCTGAAATGAATCAACCTAGAAGGTATCATTGTTAAGTCAAAAATATTGCCTTTACGACATTAGTCACTAACACTGTTAGATGTGATGTGACTTACACCCCCATGATATGGCTGAATCTAGTGAAGCATCACATCTGGAATTTTTGTTCTCATCTTGACGAGAGTTTAAATTTGGAAGTTTAAATTAGAAGTCACTAAATTAGAAGTATTTCTTTTAGAAATATATCAACATGTATTAAGCCAAAGTTCAACATGAGGGCATACATCCAAGGCTGCTGCCTCTCTACACAACATCACACAAGGCTGCTGGAGAAACACCCCAAAATTTTCAGGGATCCCAGCAGTTACAAACACCTCTCCTTTACACTGAAATCTAGCCATGAGCAAAGTGAGCCTTGTGGCTAAATAACTCAGATTTTACTCTTCTATGTTGTGCAGGGTCACAATATGGTGGCTCATAAGGCAGGGAACTGATTTATGATTTATTCTTAAGGTGATAATCCTGAGTAATTACCTTATCATAATTTAAAAAAGCTAAAAACAAGAACAGGGCTTTCAGCCCAACAGTGCTCATCTTTTTTCTGCACTCCAATTAATTCCTTCACAGTATCACACCTAGACTTTCAACTTCCTAGTGTCTCTGCCTCTACAGTATGTCCTGATAATACAGTACTTGCTATTTATAAGAACGGTAACAAACAAAAGGAAGTCCTTCAGCCCATCTGGTAGTTAGTAACTAATTGATGCAAGAATCTCATCCACTCATTACTAGAAAGCGGGCAACATATTGTCTTCAATGTACTCCCATACTCCCACAACCCTTAAGGTAAAGACAACTCCTGTTCCCGTTTTAAAACAATTCCATATATTATCAGAAAGACCCCAATTTCCAGCACAAAGCAGGAGAACATAATGGATGGGATACAGTCCATCACAGGGCACAGACACACTAGCACATTAACACATGGACAGCCCGATGGACACAAACACATGGATTCAATTTTTCCTAGGCAAAAAGTCTTTTGTGGGGGGAAACATGCACACTCCACAAAGAGGGAGTTTCCATCATAACAAACCCCAAACCCCAGAGGGAAAAGCACCACCTACTGGTCTACCAACATCACTTACAGCAGCAACTGTCTTTCATTCCATTACTGATCAGACCTAGTGGTGCTCAGAGATCAGGCCATAAGGAGATAACACTGCTTTTAACTGTACTTTATAAGAGGGGAAACCGTTTTGTTAGTTTTGTGTGCAAAGCATACATGAGGATAAATTGGGTTTTAAATTGCAATAAATTACATTCTTTCTTTGGATTTGACTTTCTTTACTTCATCACACATCAAATTATTTCTACAAACTTAACTTTGCACTTTTAGAAAGATGTTACTTACAGGCATGCTTGTACGATTTTATGTGCTTTGAACAGCACTTCCAGTCATTCGCCAAAACTATTTTCAAACACTACTTCCTACTGAATTGTTAACCTGGACACATCTGTTTTTCCTTATACAAGTACACCATGGTAAGTGTGTGAAGTGTGAAATGTGTGTGGTTACACAATATTGATTTCCTGCACTGGTGTCTATTACTGTTTAAAAAGCTACTCGTAATTTATCTTTTAAATCATGGTATACCACTGTAAACGTTTCAAGGCGTTGCGGTTTCAGAATTTATTTTTTGTCAGGGCCGTGATTTTAGCGACTGCTAATTCATCCGCCAAACCTGTTTGTTGAACCGGGGCTGGGTTAGGTTTAAAGACATCAGTGCGCCTTGACATTTCTTTTAAATTCAAGTTCACATATAAGTAACGCCTCCTGGAGGTGGCATGTAGTGTGTCTGTGCCCTGTGATGGACTGTGTAGCTGGGTTGGGGGCTGTCCTGCAGCACTGGTGCCCACAGTGGGGAGTGAGGGCATCCGGGCTCCTTGACACACTGACACGCTGGACTGCACTCCGGATGACAGCTGGTCGAGTTCAGACTCAAGTGCATCGTCTATCTGCTCATAAAGACCACTAAAGCATATATTTAATACTAAAATAATAAGACTATTATTTGTGTGTTAACTACATTTTCATTTCTATCTGCTTCATGTGCCTAGAGGACCCGTGTCCCTTCCTGTGGTCCAAAATCCAAAGCCATTTCCCCTCAGGGAAAGCACAACAATGACTTTAGATACAAGCAGAAAAACACACTTCGTAAATCCCCTCAATCGGCTGGATTTTAGTATTCTTCACCAAGAGATCCAGGACACTCGGAAACTGAATTTCAATGCAAGATCACAATAATAATGTATTCGAATAAAACTAGCACCAGCGGACGTATTATGAAAAACAAAACACTCACCGCTCTCCATCTCGCTGCCCTTCTTGGCTGTGGGAGCGTTACCCATATCTCCGGGCCGACTGGGCAATGTTTCACCTCGGTGTTACAATCCACGGACCTCCAGGCCAGGTTCGGTTCGGTTGTCTTGGGATTCCCTCTCTCCGTTTTTTATTTAAAAAACAACAATCCACCCACCGAAAGGGTCGTGAGTTTGTTTTCTCCCTATTTTCTCAAGCCTGGTTCTTTCCTGGGTCGAGCCCGGTCCGGTCCTCCTGGTTCGGGTCCCCCTTTCCCCGTCTGTCCCTCCTCAAAGCCCCCGCCGAGGCCCCCCCGGCTCTTCCCCGGTATTTAGAGCTTTGAAACTTCTCTTCAAAGGCCTCCGCGAGTACCTGCTTCACTGAACCTATCCCGCCCCTTTCTTTTCCCGATCCAGGTTTCGAACCGGTTTACCGAACCCAAAACCGATTAGAAAAACCCCCAAATCAACATCCCCCCCCCCTTAATCCTCGGTTTAAGGCTGACGGAACTCCGGCCTCTACAAAATCCCGCCCTCGCTCATCTCCATTGGTTTATTCAAACATGACAGACAACATATAGTTGTTTATTATTGGTAAATCGCTTCTAAATCCTCACTATACGGCTTGGGAATTGGTCACTTCCTACCTGTCAAGAGCATTTTATCCCGCCTCCCAAAACCAACGAATAACGTCACCTATTATTTTCCTTCAGTTTATACCACGCCCAACTTCGCATTCAAGAATTTTAGTTGGTTCGTTCGACAAGATCTCACCTGGAAACCATCCCAACAGAAGAATTTCCATTGGATACCAAAGGAAGGTTCAGAGACGAAATGGCCTCGCTAACCCCCGCCTGCCTGGCTAATCCCTGATTGGACGAGTGACGTCAAGAGTAGGCTATTTTTAGAAAGTTGGTCAGAATTTAAGGCACGCGGAGACTCTACGTCTATAGAATATTAAGTAGAGAGCCTGTTATCACTAAGATTCAGGCTTTAAAACTATAATGCCAAAAATATCCTGTTAACAAATGAATCCATACGAAGAAGATTAATATTTTAAAAATTAATACTAATACTAGGTTTTAACCAGGAATATGTAAACCCAGGAACATGTGATTCAATATAAAGCCCAGGACGTGAATGACACTTACCAACTCATACTGGCCTCACCCTTATAAACCACTTCTACTATGGTTTCACCACAGTAGTGTTGTGATTTGCTGTGCGTTTAACATGTCTTTACTGGGCATAAATACACTAGACCTTCAGAATACTGTCATAAACTATAGTAACCACTCCTTAGAGTCCTCCTCATTTACCATTAAACCAAGGAACAGTTTTCCGTGTAAATGCTTTCCTGTTGCTCTCTCACATTTTGGGTTGCCCTGTAATGGAACCAGATATCTGTAAACACAAAGACTACACCTCCAATTACCATTTAGAACCTCCTTAAAACACCCTACAGACATTTCGTCTGCCCTGCAACCTATGAACCCCACCATCACTATCTGACACTCCACAACAAAAAATACAAACACAAAACATTTTCTTTTTCTTGGACAAACTGATTTACTCTGTTACTCGAGCGTATTGTAACACATTTCTGCACCCCATGCTGTGTCACTCACTGAGACCTTTATTTAACATTAAACCTGCTATTTAAGACACACCAGCTTTGTTATTGTTGGTAATGGTGCCCTAACACTGTTCCCCTAATAGTGAATGTAGTTGCATTACAATCTCTACGTTTAATCACATCTGGAGGAAATACCAACCAAAACATACATCCATTTTGTAAGCGCTTCTTCCAAATCAGGGTCATGCCACAGCGACAGGCACAAGGGCAGGGTACACCCTGGACGGGACGGCAGTGTTTCACAGGGCAGACAGACACACTCAGACCAGGACCAATTTTTTCAGGAGCCAATTAACTTTCCAGTATGTTTTTGGCCTCTGAAATGAAACTGCAGCACCCAGAGGAAACCCACACAAACACAAGGAGACCTACAGTAGGTCTGGAACTGAACCCAGGGCCCTGGTGATAGGCAGCAATGCTAACTACTGTATGACTGTGCTGCCCCCAACCAAAACAGATGATCAGATTTCACTCTAAGGAATACTACCAAAGACCTAGCAATTAATATACTCCAGGTAAAAATGAGCCAAACCATAACAAAATTATACTGGATTGTTTGTGGTTAGATTAATTTCTTTTTGAAGACTATTATTATTTTTTATGTTATCTTTAGATGATAACATGAACTTGAACCATTGTTCATAATGAATTATGTAATTGAGTCTTTAATTCTGAAGATGTGCAATTATGGTGGTTGAAAATGGAAAAGATGGAATCCTTTTGTGAATCTCAAATAGTTTCACTGCAGTGTGTCAGCAAATGGTGAAACTCATACTCCCTATGTGTCACTCAGGCACTCAGGATCAGGAGCATGCAGCAAAACAGTTTCCACTGCTACAGGTAGGTGGCACTCTTCCTTTTGGTCAAAATAAGTACATTAGAAAGTTTAGAAACAAGGGTAGGCTTTTTGGTCCATGTAACCTGTCTGGGAGTTAGAAGCTAGAAGCTTAATTCAGTCATTTAAAAAAAAAAACATCAGGCTATCAGCTTTAACAACAACAACATGGCAGTTTGGTTCATACTCCCACAATGCATACTGAATACCCCCTTTTCTCGGTTTTAAATGCACCCCCATGTCATTTCCACTTGTGTCCCCTAGTTGTGCCTCCTCAGGTTATTTTTCTTGCGGCAACATGAGGCATGTTTCAGTGTCCATTCAGAAGTGTCCGGGGTCAACTTTGTCTATGCATTTGAGAATTCAAAATACATATTTCCAATCCTTCAAAATATTATCCCATAATGGAGATTTAAACATTGTCAAGTGAGACCTTTTTCCTATGTGATTGCCCAAAGGCCCAATGCACACTTTAGCACTGAAACTGGCTGTATTTGTTTTCAATGTGTGATGCTCTCATACTATATCTCAGAAGATAAGCAAGGGTGGGCTTAGTCAGTAGTGGAATGGGATGCCTCCAAGGAAAACAAGGCTGCTGCCATAAGTCATGGTTTCCAACCCTATCCTGGGGGACCACTGTGTCTTCCGTTTTTTGCTCCAGCAGAGTTATTAATTGCAGTAAATTATTTCAGTTTTTATCTTTTAGTTTCTGCTTGTTAAAGGTTGAATAGGATTTGTAATTGGTATCAAACCTGTACCTGTTTCTGATTTTCAGTGCTACCTTCATCCACATGTGTTGCACAAAGCCAGCAATTTTTAAATTACAAAAGGAATAGGGAAGAAATAAATATTTAGGTTCAGGAACTAAAGTCAAATTAATTGAGAGTCTCTGAATCTATATGAGTCATCATTTTAAAATATTCCAAAGATATAGTTACAGAAGTATACTAAAGACGACCAAATCCAGACGTTGAGCATAATTCAACACCACTGTATAATCAAATGAAGAATTTAGGTACAAACAAAAAGCAGCTTTTTGGAGACTTCAACATTCCCCACATAGACAGGAACAAAACAGTAGAAATGTCTGCAAAATGACAGATATGGATAATGATTACTTTCTTACGCAATTTGTTGGAGCACGTATACAAGGAAGTTCTTGTATAGATTTTGTCTTTTCAAACAATCAAGTTAGAGTGAGGCAAACAAAACTAAGAGAAGCATTCAGGAACTGTGACCATACAGTAATATGGTACAGTATGCTAAACGTATTTAAGTGACTAGACATGTCGAGTCTAAAGCAAAGGTTTACTATTTCTGGAATGCAGATTTGAAGAAATTATGAAGAAATGATGAGGAATCAACATATGCCTCAGCTACTGGAAGGATAAAGTTCTTCATTAAATAGTATAAACAGAATATAAGGAAGAAATTGTGTGGGTACTAAAGGTACTCAAGGTGGATAAATCCCCAGACCCACATGATAACTCACCAATTGTACTCAAGAAAACAAGATAATTTATTCTGATGCAACAGTCTCAAAACTGGTCATGAAGATAATGAGATAGATAGATGAGAAATCTGAATACAAAAAATTGCAGAAAAATAAGTCTGACTTGGGTTACAGGCACGGTAATGGAAACAATTAGAAGGACTAAACTAGAAATTACAAGGGATGTTAAATTTATATAATATATACTGAACCTTTTCATTCCTGAACAGAGATTACAAAGTAACCTGATACAAGTATTCAAAATGCTCTATCTCATCACCAAAGTTAGTCCAGACAGTTCATCTTCAAGATGGACACTAAAACAAGAACCAGAGGACAGAAGTGGAAACTATATGGAAGTGCATATAAAGAACGGGCAGTTCTTTATGGAAAGGGTTATGGGAGTATGAATAAGTATGAAAACCATGGTGTTGAATCTGATACCCTGTCTTATTTTAAGAAATAGTTGGATAAATTCCTTGGATCAATGATCTAGTAACTACCAAATGGGCCAACTGGCCTCCTCTCATTTGTAACCCTTTTTATGTTCTCACTTTGACTACTGATGCAGCCATTCCCACAGAACATGAGGAAAGAATATTTTCATTTCAAACCCTGCCCAGATGCCAATTTCTCCCTCTTAGGACTTCCAGGTGTGTGTTCTTGAAACATATAGTACAAAAACAAGTCAAATCAGAAAATGTTAAAAGCAAGAATCTGCCTTTCATCATCCTCTGAGTAAAAAAATAATAAAATAAAACAATGGGAATACATTTAAAAATGCCAGTTTAATGGTTAATGGAGAACTGCTTGGCAACAACATCAATTAAAGTTGAATAAGACACATCCTTTGTCCTTCCCAAGTTGCCATAGAGCAAAGAATATGTTCGTCTGACTGCTTTCTAATGAGCCAGAGACCTGGCAAAGAGTCCAGTGAGAAGCATCTTAGAGCAGATATTCCGTGAGGTTAATCTGGGGTCATGAAACATGGTTCTGTTTTCATTGCAAAATGTTTTGTTCTTATTTATTATATACGATACCTTGCATTGACACTCTGTATTAAAATTGAGTATTAAAAATTATTCGGAATCCCAGTCCAGTCAATCCAGTCAAGTTAATAGTTAATAGTTAATCTCCCATGTTTGAGGAGGATGGCACAGGCTTCCATCATCTTTCCTGACAAAAACAATTCAAAGATTTCTGTCCCTTTGAAAAATACAGGAACTGGACATGATTCTTGTTTACTTATGCTAAACAATGACCTGCTGAGTTGTCTTAATGCAATGCAAAGTAAAATTTCAAACTGAACCAAACCCATTATGATCACATTATGGTTGTCTTTAGTGATATAAGTCTTGAGCACCCAGCCAGATTAACTGACGCAGGTTCATGTACACGAGAAGCATGAGATCTGGTCTCTGCATTGCAGGCCAAGCATCTGTTAGAATGTTATCAGCATTATTAAATTTACTTTATTCATTTCCTGTACTTTATTCATTTTAAGAGCTCTTCAATACCTCGTTCTATACATTTCTGTTGTTTTTCTTTCAGCAAAATAAGCTGTTGATCACCAAAAAATAGAGGAGCCAAAGGAACTTTCACTTCAGGTACACCATTGTCCTAATCACAACCTCATCTGATATGACCAGCTAGAAAATTATTACTCACTCTTAAGAAGTCCATGGGGGTGGCTTTATGATTAACTGCATTTCATTGAATTGCAAACCTCCTTGGAATTTTCAATACAATTCCAGTGCCTGGCAAAGAGGAAAAATCACCTGGCACGTCTTATGACTATTGATCACATTAATGTTGGTTCTCTGATCTAATGACTGTTTACAAATGTGTTTATCCAAAGGTTTGTGGATCAATAAGTAAATGATGTATATATTACAAATCTAAGGTACGTTAACTGCATGAGGTTAATTCTGTTTAATATTTAATGCACATCATTTTCAAAATAAATTGAAGCCTTGAGCTGCTTTTTTGCTTTAAAGAAAATAGTTTATTTTTAGTTATTTTTTGTGAAATCACAAAACAAAATAATGTTTTGCGTAAACAAAATACAATTATATTTTTACCTCATTATCACTTATTGTTAACCATTGATATCATATCTATTGGTTTTAATGATGTCTAAAGGGAAAATATTTGGAAGTTCCTTAAATTGCACTTTATGTTAATAGTCATACTATAACATGAGGAATAACACATTTTGGATAAATTTGTGTATAAATGGAGCTTATAACGAAGGTTTAGGAGGAATGACAACTGCTAAATTCAGCAACCTCAGTTGTCAGTAATTTGTAACCAATCATGACATAATTTCCTAACCGAAACATTATAAATACTGTTCTGTATGTAATCCTCTTCTCTCCCTTGCATTGGTCTTTTGCATCCCTCCTTCACTGCAGCTGCCCCTTGGTAACTCTTCACTTTGCGGGTCCCAGCCTCCTCATCCTTTGGCCAGGAAGGTAGCCTTCAGTCAAGCAGGTTAAGTCTAAATTATCGTGTCTAAAACACTTAACGAACATTGCAATAAGCTAAATTTCTGGGTGTTGTTATTCCTAGTGATATACAAGGATTTACCAGTAGCTCAAAAATAAAATTTTGGAGCTACCGGTTCTTTAAGTATCTGATAGGGGATATTTCTCCTCAGTCTGCTTAATCACATTCCAATATTTATCTCAGTTCAGATTACGGAAAACAGAATTGGGACCTGCAGCCAAGAGTGAGGAGGCACAGTCTGGATTTGGAGTATACTGGAGGGCACATTCTACACTCTGTTCTGGAGAGGCTCTAAATCCAGGGATCATGGATCAGGTGTTCTTCTTAACTGAACTCTTAATGAGTTCACTGAGCTGACCATTCTCTTAACAGGACATATTCAAAGTTTCTGCCAGGTTTAATGGAGATAAAGGTCTTATTGGTCCAGAGGTTAAGACAAAGGGCTTCTTACAATGAGGTTCCTACTTCACGTTCTGACTCTCACACTGACTAACAGTATGTTGCAGCTCCTTGTGCTGATATTCAGAGAAACTCCAAAGTCATGCCACAGCAGCTTCTTCTGCATAGTTTTTCACCCAATGATCTTTGTAGGTTACTCCAGACTCTTCGGCAGGATAAGTTATAAAAACCCCATTCAAGCCTGAGGGGCTTTAACCCTACAGTTTTAAATGAATTGCCATATAATAACTTATTTTTTATCAATACTGTACACATTAACGTCTCAGACAGAATGCAGCAAGCTGCTGGGCCTCAACGCAGGGCCTGCTATCTGTCATGCAAAAAGATCTCAGGGTCACCCCCTTTAAAATCTATTACAAGGTTATTTATGAGAGATTTACTGAATCTAAAGCAGTTTAAGGAAAATAATAAAAGCCTGTATGGCTATCCTATCACAAAGTAATCAAGTTTAATTAACTACAATACTATACTATACTACTATAGAAGAGCAACAAAAATAATCAAAATCAAGGCTTCATAATTCACAGTTAAAACGTGATATAATTTTAAAAAATGCGTTTGTCAGACAGGGCAGAGCTGATGACGAACTGTAGGTTTCACAGCAAAAAATGATTCTTAAAGGAAGTGCAGAGATCAAAGTCTTACTGTGCGTCAAAGCACTCCAATGCTCCTTGAGTCAACGCACTGGAGAGTCCCGCTCTTCAACACTGAATACAGCTTCCACCTTGCAGTTAAAAGACCAAAGATATCCAAACTAGGCATCCATGGACGCTATTGTATGCCGACGATGTTATGATAGCAAGTGAAACGCGAAACGGCCTCAAACAGCAAGTACAGGAGTGGAAGACGCACCTTGAACGATTCGGGATGAAATTGAACATCAAGAAGACGGAGTACACCGTCAAAGTCGCCCCAATCACTGAGAAAATGAGGGAATCACGCCTGCGATGGTATAGGCACGTGCTCTGCAGCAATGACACATCAATGGCAAAGACCGCCCTCGAATTGAATGTGGAAGGCCGCCGGCCCCGTGGAGGACCATTTACGCGCTGGCTGGATCGGCTGAAAGACGACATGCGCCTCGCAAAAGTCACCTGCCGAGATGCTGAAAAAAACAGTAACAACAACAAATAAAAATAATTAAAAAGTACCATTTCAGTGAGAGGGGTGAGCCTGTTTAGTCGAGCAAAGCAGATGTGAATTAATTTTTCGAGCCTTGATACAATTCACAAGAGTCTAACAGATTTTAAATCGTCAGGCATTTTCTTGACTGCTAAAGTCTCGCGGTGGATGTTACAATGCGTCCATTAATTTCTGCAGCAACCTCTCTAATTCGTGTAACTACACCGCTGTGTTGGCTTGCCATCACTCTAGCACCGTCTGTACAAACTCCGACGCGTTTTATCCAGTCAATGGCATTCTCTTCTATAAATTCATTCAGAAGCTGAAATATGTGCTCTCCTGTAGTTCCTGTTGGTAGCGGCTTACAGAACAGAAAGTCCTCATGGGACGTACCCTCAAACTCGTATCTTATGTAAACGATCAAATTGGACAAATCTACTACAGACTCATCTAATTGCAGTGAAAAACATCTGATCATCTTAACGCGCTCTATCAGCGTACTTTTGATATAATCCTTCATTAATAATTCTATGAGTGACTGTGTTTTTCGGGGGCGGGGCAGCAGGTCGAGCTGTACAGCAGCCTTTTCTTCACACATAATACATGACAGCTCTTTTATCAACAGTAAATAAGGTTCTTCAAAAATAGTGTGGCTTACCTGCTTTAGCAATCCGCAAGCTCGCATTTCCATTTTTATTTCCATATTTATTTTACGTTTTTATTTCATGCGCATGGGTGCGAAACACAGACGCTCGGTGTATTTTTCTCAAATTAACTTAGAACAGTTCTTTAATAGTTTTCTGTTATCTATCACGCTTTCCTGCTCTCACAAGATTACTAGCATTCGTCGCACGTATTTCTATGCATTCCTGTGCTTACAACATTGGAATTGTTCCAAAATCACGCACATTCTCCTACCTCCCTATTTGCTGGAGATACAGTAGCTTTTTTTAAAATACAATTGGTCACTTGCGTCCATAGCACACATTCTTATAGTGGTATAGAATTACAGATTATCTCGTGTCGACTGAAGTATTAGCGCGCACTGTATTGTAGTACATAGGCTGCATATTCGACTTGTATTAAAATTCAAAATATGAAAACCCATTCCGAGTTTTCAGCACACACAACACAGTTCCAGGGTCATTTGGCGTACCACTGCAGGTAAGCGTACCACAGTTTGAGAACCACTGACTAAAATATGACCTACGAAATATACAGTAGATCTCTGCCGTAGACTTTGGCTAGCAGATCTAATTCTGCACATCACTTGCCCCTCACTACACTGCAAGTTCCAAGTGACACGATACTCATTTAGTTGAGTGCAACTGTGTTCAAATTTAGATGTCTGGCAAAATGTACAGACTGGAAATATACATTTTGCATTCAGAAGCAAACATTTTGTTACTCCAAACAATTGCTACTTATATTGGCACCAAAACGTGAGAATCATAGGTTCATATCTATAACAAAATTAGTCCAAACGCATTTATCCCCCAACTAAATGGATATCCTATTAACCCTGTGCATGCAAATATAATTATAACGGAAATTCTGAGAAATTATTAGGACCATTGGTTTAGTGCTTAAAGTACAAAGTTTTCACCTCCAAGGGGAAGAGTGGTGGCTCTGTGGCCAAGGATCGGCACCTGTGGCTGGAAGGTTGCTGGTTCAAATCCTGCAGCCAGTGGAGAAATCCTACTCTGGTGGGCTCCTAAGCAAGGCCCTTAACCCCAACTGCTCCAGGGGTGCTGTACAATGGCTGACCCTGCATTCTGACCCCAAGCTTCTCTCCCTGTCTGTGTGTCTCATGGAGAGCAAGCTGGAGTATGTGGAAAGAAATTCCAAATGCAAGAAATTGTATAGGATTAATAAAGTGATATTATTTACATCACCTATAGCTGGAAATGATGTACATAAGAATCATCATCAGATACGTCATACCCATCAATGGCACTTATGGACAAAACAGCATAATTATTTGGATTAAGTTGCAACAGCCAACCTTGATTAGGTATGGGCACCTCTTTGAAAATTACCTTCAAATACCTTGATGCAAGAGGGGCCTCCCCTAGAATAGTGTTGGCAAAACTGTGCAGCACCAGGTGCCGCTATAACTCATCTTTCACTCTCTTTGTAAAATGTATTCTTTGTAAATCTCCAGTGTAAAAATGTTGTAAAGAAGCAAGGGTGACCAAATCCCTTAGAGAAAGATATATTAGCATGCCCTGACCATAACTATAATCTGGTGACAGCTTTCAGACCAAGAACCAGTAGGTGACCTCGAAGGGTGAACCAGATTAGAAGTAACACTTTTAAAGCTTCACTTTATTCTCTCAATCCCAACACACTTGATCATAGTTCTCAGGGCAGATTTATTAGTTTTGCATTATTTACAGTACATCATTCTAAACTGAAACCAGAGCAAAAATTCAAAAGTGACACAGGACAAAAAATGTGGAGATGCACAAATATTAATCTGTTCCATAGAAAAGGTTGACTCTACATCCTACCAGGATCCATGATCATATATAAAACACCATTTTCAAATTTCAACTTGATACTGCACATCCAATATGAGTGCTCTTTTAGAAACGTTCTTCAGTTTAAATTAAATAAACACGTATGGCTAAAATAATCTGTCAGTTTTTAACTTCCTTTTACCATTGAAAAGCAGAATAGAAAGAACGTAACAGTTCAGCTTGCCTTGACATGTAGATTTCCTGCACAGTATAAAGCAAGTGTTTCTACTTCCAGAAGCCAGCAGACCAGACAGATAAAATGGACAGAAAAACATCCTCTCATAGTGGACACTTCATGTGCTCTCTTAAGAATTTATCACATCACTGGACAATATTTTTATTGAATCCTTAAATAATAAATTAAAAAAAGCATTTTCAAAGCATATTGATCTGAAGAATTTGTAACCATCTTGTTTCAAAGCTATATACTGTTACAACTAACTGTTCTTTCATCCTTTTCCTTGGTATTACATTTTCCAGATTTTCAGTGGTTTGGTTTGTTCAAAATTACTTAAACCTCATTCATTGCTTCTCATTATAATGCGCCTATGTACTTTCAATATATACCCTCAATATAAACTCAATTATAAAGAACCCCCCACCAAGGTAACAGGGCTGCTGATATGGAAAATATGGGCCACTAAAACATCAGGTGTAACAATTTAACAACATATGAACCTCAAACCTCTCAGGTGACAGGAACACTAATTCCAAACCTGTGAACATGGCTAAGATGGCTAGTTCGTAAGACCCTGTATCTTTTTTTATTGGAGGTGGTGAGGGATTTGAATCTAACCTTTTGCAGCTTCAGTACAACAAAATTAGCTATCGGGAATAAGAAAAACTGGAACAGAAAATGGTTAGCAGTGTTGTTAAAACATTTTCTGCAAGCATCTTTTCCACATTTAGATCCAGCCACAATGAAAGATCTACTATTTACTACAGTCAGCATCGATGACACTGCTTAAGTAATACATCACTTGGCACTTATTGTAAACCTTAGTGTTGTTCTGCACTATGTTAGTACAAAACATGAGATCACCAATGTCTTGTCAGAAGCTAAGATTCCCTTTCTCCCTAATTTGTTTTAATATTCCAAATGTAAAGTTGTTACCTATGGTAAGAAATATTCAGACCTTCACCATATTGTTGTAAAGGAACATAATTCCACTGCAAGAGATTCTGTTCAGGGTACATGGAAGAGTTGCCAAGCCACAGTGTGGAGAAATAATTACATACCCATCACAAGCACAGATGTCTGTATACACCGGTCACACAAAAAAAAGACTTTACCGCTTTCTCATCTGTGAGCTTTCATGAACTTGTACTCCTTTACCAAGATACCCACATGCCCACCAGAGTGTATCACTATATTTAAGAATTAAAAAACTTTTAATAGTACCATTTATAAAGCTTTGTGTAGAATACAACAAAATACAAAAAAGGAACAGGTGAGAATTTATTTGGAATACATGAAAAAAAGAAAAACATATATACAGATGTTTACAACACCTATCTCAATGCCTGTCCCCCTTAAATCTCCTATTTTCCTGGTACAGACGAAGATTAAACAGTGTATACTGTGATTTGCTGATGTCCTTTGTGAATCAGCAGTTTGGCATTACTTCTCACAGAGAGCAGTTTCTTACGAAAAGGTGTCCCATTTATGAGAAGTGAAAGATGAAACATCCCAACTCCCAAAGCCCAGAGAGACTTGTGAGATTTGCCCCCATGGAGGAAAGACGATCTTCCAGGTGGGAGTGGGCACACTGTTGACCTGCTTGAAAGGATTCATTTCGGAGGGAGATCAAGCAATCTCTTGGGGCCCGTTGTCAGGAAGTGCTTTAAGGCTTTGCTGGCAGTGAAGGTGTGTGTGGGGAGAGTTAGGGGGTGGCTAAGTAAACACACGTCTACAAGCAGTCCATGGAGTTATCAGGTACCAGGCTGAGCCCAGGGCTCTTACTGGGGGTGCAGCTTGGGGGCAGCATGGTGTTGGGCGCTGGGTCGACATTCTCCAAGTCCTCCATCTTGTCTGGAGTGCCCTCCCAGTTGATGTGAAAGCGTGTGACACGTGGATTAGAGGCCAAGATATTTCTCTGGAGCTGAAACAAGACAGGGTGATAAAATATTAGGTGCATTTAAACTAGACTTCATTCTGCCAGGGGTTTGGCATACGCGACTACAAAATGTTGAATTTACACTTGTATGGAACAGCAGGGCTGTTTTTCCCAGTAAGAAAGGTAATTACATTAATGATATGCTAACCATGTGTTATGACAAAGTGGACAAGTCAGAAATAATCTTGCAGTGGTTTAACACCAAAAAAATGAACTTATTTCAGTGGTACAACTTAGAAATTAAGCAGTTTCTCCCACAGTATATGTTCCAATTGATAGACTAGAAGGTAAGACTGCAATATATAGTTTTTTGTGCAGACTCTGTTACAAATTCTCGCGGGCGGGCGATTACGCAGTCTACCGCGAGTTACCGTAAATTCTCCTATTATACCACAAGTAAAATAATAGTATCTGGAATTTTCGCAAGGTGGAGCTAATAAAGCTCAACCTCTCATGGTTGAGCTGTCGCCATCAAAGTCTTTAACGAAGATATTACTAATAGTATTAATAATGAATGACCTTGGACAAGCTGTAAACTCAAAGTATTGCCCTGGTCCACATTCTTTTTTTCATTGACTGTCTTTGTAAAAGTAACACCACAGCATTTCACAATCACGCATTTGTTTCCAATCATGCAAAGTACAGTAATTTATGAGAATCTCAGATTCACCATGCCTTTCACATGCTCATAAAAGAGATTGATTTAGGAACATAAACATATTACTGTATGCAAACTGTACTGTATACACTATGTATATGTATATTTAATGTCTTTACTGTGCCCATTTAAGTACTGAATGTTTATATGGAATTTTACCACTGAAGGGAAATATTAGTAACTGAGCATAAAAAGAATAGGAGCATACTGTAACGCGTGTGAAAGCCATAAACAATATTAATTTTGGAACATAAACATACAGCATATGGCTGGTCTTGGTACTTTAAAGAAAACATACACACCAGTATGCCATTTCTCCCTAAACATTTTAAGCATCGAGGTCTTTAACTAACGTGATACCAGAGTCAACAAGCATACTTTAAGAATTTGATTAAAAGGGAATATAATATGGAATCGCGTATCTAAAGAAATTAATAACGATATAATTATATTCACGTACCGCAACACAAGAATTGTACACGCTGTACGATAAAACGTTTCCCTGACTCAGAGATTAAATAAAACTTCACTTGCACCAAACAAATTTATATTTCTAAATATCACAACATGATCGAATTTAAGTCATTTTAATAACAATGAATAGTCACCTATGCGTTACAATATAAACATTTATATTGATTTAAATCGCCTTTATTTAAAACCCATAAATAAAGCTGATACTGTTTAGACTTTTATTTATTTAAAACTGTATTACAGCAGCACAATAAAACGTAAATCGCTATCTTTGTCTTCTGCGTAATAATGTTCACCTCTCTGTCCAGCAAATTAACAACAGTAATAATAAAGAACTTTATTGTATATGTTGCCTTTAAAGGTGGCTCCTCAAAGCACTTTACAGGATAAAAACAATAACAACAATACTGTTAGGCTGGGCAAACTATTTTTTTTTAAAAGAAATACAAAATTAGATATAATGTGTTCCGGCTTAGACATTAGTGAAGAGCATAACACGTGGGCGGTGTAGCGGTCGGCTCTGGCTTCCCCATCTACTGTATACACTGCAAGTACAACGCCCCTCTCTGCGGGAGTGCTGGCTGTGATGAATTAAACTGGTTTCACAGGTATTTTCAAAGTAGAAGGGGGCGAGATTTCCAGCGAAAGACACCTCCCCCCATCCAAAACCATGGAAGTACAGTACTTACTAGTCAATGAATCGCTTTAACATACTAATGCGTTGGTGTAACAGTCCGGGCGTGGCAAGCTTCTAATGTCAACCCAACCACGGCGAAAGGAACCCTTCTTTCATTGGAAGACAATGAACATATTCTAGCCCTAAATGAATTAATAGCAAACATGGTTTACATAAAAGACATTTTTCCAAGAAAGTTTAGCCTTTGTCACTAATGAAACCACTAAATAAAGACATAAATATAGAAATCTTAAGATTTTTAAAATACATGACTTTGCTAAAATTGATTTAAAAATAAAAACGATTACAAACGCCAGCAGAGAGAGAGAACAGGGGAGGGGTGTTGGTTTTGCATAAGGGCTATTGAAAATGGTCTAGTTGGGAATGTGGAGTTACATGTTCTGGCTGTTTGTGAATTATCGTTGTTGAGTATGGAGTGTTGAGGTATTGATTTTGTGTAATGCTTATGTTGAAAACTGAGGTGGATTTTGTTTATGATAAAGAGGATAAACTGGGATGGGAGGAGGGTTTGGTTTTGCATAAGGGGCAGGATTATGATAATTAGAAGAATTTGAGAGAGTTTAATGGTTTGATATATTTGATTTTGTATTTTGTGGTTGTTATCTATGTTTTTGGTTGGTATTATGTTTACATGGTTGTTTTTGTTGGTTGGTCGTTATTGTGGTTATTATGTTTGTGTCATTTCTGATTATTGGATGTAATTATCAAGAGAGAGAGATAGCGAGCGCCTTCTTTTTACTTTTGTAGCCAAAGGGCCTTGCAGATCAGATTCCCTTCCCCCTACGGAAAGACAGACATGTTTTCACAGTTTAGAAGCCGCTCTTCAGACGCAGGCGAGCGAGCAGCCCCTAGATAAAACATGAACTTTATTTAAACTACAACTTTTAAAATACACGTTTCGAATAGAAAGAAATCATCTTCCTGGTACAATATGTATAGCAGACCAGCACGTCTTTTTTCTCCAATCAGAGGGGTGTCAGATGGTGTCAGCCAATCACTATTATGAAGCCCTACCATAATCTCTGGTATAGGGAGACCCCAGAATTCTGTCCCATAGTTTAGATAGATGATAGATACTTTTATTGATCCCGTGAGGGAAATAAAGTAAATCATTTTCATTTTAGGAAATTATTAAACGCTCGGTTAAAAGCAAAGGAGAT